ATGTAAATAATTGTAGGTGAACTGAGAAATAATATGTACTGAAAAAGTTAGTTAAAAAAAGCTAAACGGATTGTACCTACAGTGAAAAATTGCTTCGGTCACATAGTCCTGCGTCACTGCAAGTTACTGTAAATGTATTATTATTATTATTATTATTATATTTACTATCATCATTATTATTCTAAATGAAAGCTATGAAAAAACTGATCGACACTTTTTTAAAGCCATACCTGTTGGTTGAAGTTTTTCATTGGAATTTTAAAAAACACAGAGAAAACCTTAAATGGGCTCATTGGAATATCATCATCAAGATTCGATTTCTGATACATACAAGTGAATAAGTAATAGGTGACAGGGTGCCCGATAGGTTTCCATTGTAATAGATTATTTTAAATCTTTTTATAACCTGCAATACAATTTTTGTCTCTGTTCAAAATCTAAAAAACAATCTGTACATTTTTCTACAAAATAGGTTCAACATAACTGGACTAATTCAAAAGTTAAAAACAGGTAAAAATATGTATGCCCTAATCGTATGTTTATCGGCTTAAATTATTTAACTGATTAACATATTTTACATTTATCAATGTTCTGTATTACATAACTCTACAAAAGTTCTAAAAAAAAATATAAAACCATAAAAAATAGTATTTTATAAACACAGAAAATATAGATTTTTAAGTAAAAGTACACGTTGCCGATCTGAAACAAGAAAGGAAAATCACACTCTACAAGCATGCTAACTTCCTGGTTTCTATACGTAATTTTTAAATAAAAAATAATTATTACCTAATCAAACTCAATACGTTAAAATTAACATTACAAAAACATTTAAACATCACGTGATATAAATACTGGTTTCTTTATAAAAATATCAAGAAATGTGTGAAAACCAAATGAATGTTTTAAACTTAATTTTAATGTCAATAAAACAGAATATTAAAGCAATTTAGCAATGTAAATAGGACTGCTCTAGGTTATATCATTGATCTTAATATAATAGTATATTATAAGATCAAAAGTTATATGGAGATTAGTCATATCAGTTAAGTAATTGATATTTTTAATAAAACAAATAATAGTATTGTTAAATGGTTAAAATCGGTTATTACACACAATATTAAAAATTTTGAAATTTTGAAATTAGTCTGTCTACAGGTACGTAGTTTGGTATAGTTAAATTGAAATACAGGTTAACAGTTATAAACGCGTCCCAATAAGCATGTCTGGAGTGAAAAAAAAAATGTTGATAGAAATAAAAAAATGATAGGTAAGTAGAAAAAATAAATAGGTAATTATGTCAATTATCAAAGAAAGTAAAACGAAAACTATATTACTGAATAGTTAATGATAACTAATAAAGTAATTAATAACATTGAAATTAATTATGGTACTGATTAAATCAAAATTAAATAACATTGCAATTAAACTATTCACTCTACCTTCAATAGTTATTGAAAACCCGACAAGTAGGGTATAATCGCTGTGCTGTACATTAAGAGTCGAGTGTACCTCGTAATTGAGTGAGCACTGCAGTTAATGTTTTAAATTTGTATTCAATAATAAATCATTCAAATCATTGTATACCATGAAAAGCGGTTCTGATCAAAGACTGTCTAACTTTTTTGTAACTGAGGTTGTCAAACAATTTTTTAATAATAATATTAAAATGTTAACAAATATTTGTATTTATTTTTTGCCCCTACTGTTTTAAGGAGTACATATTATCAAAATGTTGTATCTCTAAAGTATCGACGAGATCCAATACCCTAACAAAAATATCCATCGGAGTTGATGATCAGATCATTTTTCATACTAGAAGATGTGTATTCAGACAACCATTTTTTTTTTTTTTTAACACACTTAACTGTAAAATCAAAACGTTCATCACTTAGCTCAGAATCTAAAATACAACTAATTGTAAAATCCATACATTTTTCGATCCGCTCAGAATATAAAAGCAGTATAACAATCAAGGGGATTGGTAAGGTTCAGTTATTTTAGCCAAAACATAGGTACCAATATCTCTTGCCCATAATTTTGATCGATCACGTAATGAGGTAATACTTTTGAAAACTGATTTGAATTCAATATTATGTCTACTTGAGATTTATCGGTCCACTTTTCTCAATTTCAACCCCCCCCCCCCCCCACTAATTCCTATAAATTTGGTTTGAAAATTTTAAAATTTAGACATTTTCAAACGTCGATTAATCGGAATTCAAATCAGAAATCGTAAAATGCTGACCAATCAATCTCAAGAAGACATTATAACAAATTCAGATCAGTCTTCTGAAATATGATCGCATTATTCGGCAGGATGGACAAAAAGTACATACAAATGAGCATAATTTGTCTACCATTCACTTGCGCAACACTGAGGTGGTGACTTGTACACGTGAGGGGGGAGGGCTCTGCTATTTATTTTTCACGCAAGTCACACACACTAATATTATAACTTACTACTAACACATTGACAAGATCCGCAAGTCAAAATGGAATTTAATAATTGCCGTTTTTTAACTCATTAAAAACTGTCCGTCACCAATACCTCTTAACTATATTGAATATAGCACATATAAAAGAAAACAATAATTACGAAAATTATACTTTATTATTATATTGACCACGTTCATCGTATAGTTTAAAATTCGAATAAATAAAATATGTATTTAAGTGGTTTGCGTGCATGCATACCTATTATGATAATGGAGGTTATATTTAAATCATATTATATAGTCTCGCTCTAATCATAAGGGTTAGTGTATTCACTAAAATAGATAGTCGACATTCACCTTTACCTATATATTATTGAGATGGGCATTTACTACTGCTAAAATACCAAACAATTGAACCTACTTTCAGTTTAAGGGTAAGCTACATAATGTTCATTTTAGTCTGTTTTTTAAGTGTACAAAACAATAGTAAAGATAATGTCGTGGATGGCCAGAGTGCTTCAATTTAATGCCTATGTAATATATGGACCTTTCTATCCGATTCACTCGTGCCCCCCGCCCCACAACAGTGAATGGTGTCATTGAATAATTATAAAACAAAATCCAATATCTTTATTCTCTTTTAATATCACAACTATACCTATTTTACTAAAACTGGAGTAGTTATAACTATTATAATAATAAATTAAGAAAATTCATCGAGCTTGGTGACTTCTTGGTACATAGATAATCGATTTGCTGATCGAATGAATGGACATCTTGTGTTGCGTCAAACTCAATATTAACGACAGTTTCGTTATCTCTATTTCAATCGATAGAGTGGCTACATTATGAAACTTTGGCAACTGTTTTATTGCCCCAATAAATGTTTTCCGAGATATAAAATCACATGGTAGTAAGAGTAATAAAAGTGTAAAACGTAAAAGAAAAAACAAATAACTTCTTCGTTCAGCAGAAAATCTAAGATGCAATTTAAATATTTTTACACCAATGTATAACATAATATACAAATAATAAATATTTTCTGAGCATGTTGAGCAAATATGAAATGGATAAAAAAATTTATTAAATTACATATTACTGAAGTACTTTATTTTGTCTATTTTTACGAGTTTCGTTTTTTAATATATCCCTTAGTCCTTACGTATTAGAAAAAAATCCATACCATTTTTTGAATAAATATAGATTTAAGTTGTATGCTTACTACGTTTCATAATACATAAGTATTCATTTTTGTTTCGATTTTCCTGTTTTGCTGATAACTACATAGAAAAGTGTTTTAATTACCTATACGTACCTAATGTAACATTTTAAAAATTATAAAAATTGAATTATTTAACAATATAAAATAATCTTTAGTAATGGTTGACTTTATATTTTTAAAAATATAGGATAAAAAACGTATTTATAGTATATTATATATGTTTTGATCATATTCTTAATATAATTAAAACGACGCTCTCTATTTTTTACTAATTGGCCAATTTTAATTACCCACCACTAAATTTCCAACACGTAAATAACCTGACCAAGATTAGATTGTGTGTTTGACCTTGTTCTTCTTTCTCGTTTTTTTTTTTTTTTATCGGACATTTATCATTCAGGTGAATCTGGTGATCACTAACCAAGGTTGGCGTATTTTTATTAAGTACGTGAAATTCGTAAGCAATTCTCAATTATTTTAACAAAACTACCCCATTATATAAAAAAATGTATTGAATCGTGTGAAAACAAATTATATTAAAAAAGTTAATGAAATTTCTTTAAATGAAAACGAGTTCATTCATAAATTATATTCATTTTAGTAGGTATTATAATATAATAAAGATTTTGAAATGAAAATGCTTAAGTAGGTCATTCTTGTTTATTATAATAGTATTAATATTTAATATTGATAATTTGATTAAATATATAAATATAAAATTAAATAAATGAAACTCTTTTTCATTCATTCCATTAGAATACACGTTGAATATAACTAAAAATACCTATACAGTAAAATATGTTAACAGTTATAATTTATAACTTTTTCTCTTTCAGCATATTAGCTATATTTTATTTGACAAACCTACATCAATAATAATAAAAATAAATCATTACATTTATATAATGAGTCGTAAAAAATTATCTTAAAGAAAAGTTCTGTCCTTAAAATTTAATGAACTATAATATTTTCTTTTTTGGCACATTAAAATATTGTATAATATGTGCAATATAAAACATACCATTTTAGTATTGCACTGTCACCCGGCAGCGCGTTATAATTTTCAAAAATGTTTGCTTACAAATCACATAAAACTAATTCAAAACTAAAATAATATTCAATAGGAGATTATAAATATAAATAAGTAATATAAAATTGTCAATTACACTACTTCCAAAGTATCTATTACAATTTTTTTTTTAAAAAACCCGTACGAAAAATACGATGACATAATAATATATATTATTTGTAATACTATATTGTACTTATATATACAAAATGGCAAATATAAATGGTAAAATAGTCTACAAAATAGAAATTTTATGTTAATATTTGTTCAAAGTGTGGTAACTTAAATAAATATAAGAATATAAAACTACATATATTATGAGAATAATATTATGTATATAATATGATACTTAAAAATATAACTACTCACTATAGTATTGGAAAGGTAAAGGAAATTACAAAACAAATGATAGACATGAAAACTTATAGTAAATTATTCGGAGTCTTTCAGCCACACTTTTAGTGGAATTTGTAAGAACGCGTTGTTCAAGAAATTTTTGAAATGTTTGCCAATGGCTTGCGAAGCGGCGGGTTTCATTTCTTCAATGATCTCTGCGGAATTTTCATTCAAGAATACGTTCATTGCTTCGCCTGAATAAAATCATAAATAATTTTAAAATATTGTTTGTATTTTACATTTTAAAGGAATTTATTTCTGTGATCTAACCTATGACGTTTTGCATGTTTATGGAATCTTTGATCTTAAAATCTGATTTCTCCAGTTTGAAACCAATGCCCAATCTTTCAGTTTTCATGAATTTCACTCCTTCTTTATTCACTTCCACTCCATATAATTTTGCTAAGGCCGTTACGTTTCCTAAATGCAAAAATGGTTTATATAAGCATTAAATTGTTTCATCAGTTGTAAAAATAATAATTAGAATAAATGCTATCAGACCGAAGGATGCCCAAAATTCTCCTCTACTTCTAACAGGTAATAGTAACACGTTTCCATTGACATCGTAGTTTCCAGTGGCTTCGATGTGTGGTATGAAAAGTCCTAAGTCTATGCGGTATTTATTCATATCACTCCTATAAAAATAATTTGCCATTAAATATTAATATTCATACGCTTATTATAACAAATTGTGTAACATACACATTTGCATACACAAATAATAAATCTAATGTAGAGATAATAAATGTTAATGGCCTAATTCATAATTTGTTGTACAAGATATGATGATGTTTAATCTAATATCAGCTGTGCATAAAAAATCTATTTAAGGTTAAAATTTTAAAAATATATTAAATTATTCAGTTAATCCAAGAACCCGGTGTATATACAAAAATATAAACCCAATTATTAAGATTGAAGTTTTAATGGTTTATTTTATTCAACGTTTGAACTGATTTGGTGCTTACTTATAATATATTATAATATACTACATTTGAAAGTATGTATTATCATGTTACGAAATGTATTGTTAAGAGTTAAGATTGTACGTTTTGTCATTTTCCTTAAAATAAAATCATAAAGGTTGTTACATAAGTTTAAAAGTTACTATAGACTATTAATCGTTATACACTACTGCTCAGCAACCATCATTTATCATAAATTTATAGTACATAGACCATATCATCAAATAAATGTTTAATAATCTCGAGTAAATAATGAAAAAGAAGTAACATTTTATAAATCTATAATTTAAAAAAATCCAGATTAATAAAAGATATATTTACAACGAACTAATTTACGTGGCTAAATATATTAGTACAATAAATTGATATAAAAAAGTTGTATTTTAAATCTAATATTAAAATAAAGAATAATCAGGTATTCATTGTAAAACTAAGAGTAAGCAAAACGCTTGGTGCATTAATAATTATTCACACCCATTTAACTAAACATTATGTAGCGTTGAACTATTGCAGATTATTTTATAGCAAGACAACTACTTTTCCTGAAGCTTTCAATCTAACCTGACATTTAAAACTGTATAATTGCTCGCGCCGTGTATCGTCATGTTACTGAGTATGGCCCTCACTCTGACCGCACCATGACCGTTTTCCATTTGCATTTTTGGTATAACCAATGGTTCGATCGGAGGCACGGTAAGCTCTTCGATACCTAGAAAAAAAAACAATTTCTCGAGTATAACATATACGGCATGCAGTGGTGAGTGGAACCTCTAAATAACACGGACATCGATAGAACAGAAAGAAATGTCTGTTACTGAGAAAGTCCAGTTATTTATGGGGGTTTCACGTTATAATATTATGTTTATTAGGGTAAAGAAATATATCATCATTATAAGTGCAATAACAAAGTGCATTTAACTATTTAATTCACAACAGATGTAAAAATATGCATTGTAATTTTTTATGAACTATTTATGTGATATTATAATATACCATCAATGAGGTAAGGCCGAAGATGGTTGAATGTTTCTTTTATACAACTATTGAATTGAACATCCGACTTGCGACACGAATGAATGTATTCAGCTGAAACAATACAAAAAATATTTTATTTTTTTATCCGCGTATTATAGAATCTTTGTAGTTCAAATTTTTAAAAATAATACTGCTTAGTACTTAATAATAAAATCATATTTGTTTTATATTCGGATTATAATGCAATTGATGGCATTACTTCTTGTTTGCGATATGTGAAGAAGAACAACAACTTTTAACCTTAACATATTTTTCATACGATCAAAAAATAACGAATTATATATTTAGTTTACATAAATATAGTTAGGTACATAAACGATAAATCTATTAATTATTAGGTAGGTATACATATTTTAATATTTTAATATGAACTTGAAATCTAATTTGAGTAGTATATAATTTAATAATTATTTATTGGTATATTTTTGTTTATCTATTTAGAATACCAAGGATTGTAATCACTCGTAACCAATTATAATAAAATATCAAGATGTACCGAGAGTGAAATATTTTTACTTATAGATTTCAGTTTATCTACAACATTAGAAACCAATTGGGTCTTAATCATTTCATTCTCGTTAGATTAGTAAGAATGTAATTTAATTGATATTTCACGTTCTATTCCAATAATGATAAATAAAATATGGTAAACCATAATATTTGAGTCTGCAGGTAATACCACCTAATTAAAATCTTTATTTCAGTTTTTTTTTAATAGTATTTAATAACGTAATGCACGTTGCTCGATAACAATACTATTATATCAAACACCGTAATGTGATTAAACAATAATATTATTATGATCGTTTATACAACAATTAAATAAAACATGAGATACATAACATTAGTTTAGCGTCAGAAATTAAAGTATCCTATTAAAATAAAAACTGTTGGGGGGGGGGTCTTTTTTTATTATATTTTGAAGTAACTATTACCTATCTATAATTACAAAATTTTTTCTATAATACCTATTAATAAAATATACTGTAAACTATAAAATAAAATAAATACTTCACTATTATGTTCCCAGCTATAACATAATATTATGAAATAAACATTAGTTTAATGCTGTATAAATTAGGTGACAGGTCACAACTCGTATGTAGTTATTCGTGGCACAATGATCATAAAAATATTATATTATGATATATTAACAAAATAACTTTGAACACATGGTAAGGGTAACAACATTCTTCTTTATCTACGGAAAGATGAAGGAATCATGGAATGAATGAGTGCACGCTTATTCCATTGTTTCCTTGTTTATAATAATACACACAATAGTAAACAATTAAATTGTATTGTTCAAACATGTTTATCGATAATTTTTTTATAAAATTTAAATATTTATATTACTACCATTATTATCTATTAACTACTTATATTTTATAATAATTAATAATATTAAACAAATATTAAAACGCGCAGTATCTAAAGTATTAAAAAAAAAATACTTAAGAAATTGAGTGTCTAGATCTTCTATTTCAATGTATTCTACTTCTAATTCAAATCTGCTTGATTTGAAATGTCCTCAACCAAATAAAAATAATTGTTATGGCATTATAGACTTGGGAAATTGAGAGAGTAGATCACTTCGTCCTGAACTTGTAGTTATAATTGTGAAGGGCTTCCGGATTTAGGAATTATTTACGATTTGTGCACCCCCAAAAATAAGAATATTGGTCTAGTTGCACCTACGGTCTTGAACTAAAAACAGATTTTGGAAACATATCAAAAATCATAGTATGTGAAATTAATACTTAAGCAAAATAATAAAATATTTAAAAATATTTTTTACAATTAGTTACGGTTAAGGTTAAATATTAAATTTAAATTTACAATATTGAGAGTCAATCGAAAAAATATAAATTGAATTCTAAACAAAAATTAATTGAAATATAGCCTGTATAGAATAGCACTAATCGTTTTGAAAACTAATCCACATAAATATTTTATTTCTATTATGAAATCTATAGCTATTATTGAAAGTCGATACCTATACGAAATATGACTTTGAGAGTTCGAGACTATAATCGCCAAACGTCTTTGTGATTTACAACTAGGTACTATTTGAGCCCATATAATCTCTTTGCATTTGCGTCAATAACAGAAATTATAATAATAAAAACTCATCGATACAAAAACTACTTACTAAATGAAATCTCAGAAATGAATAAGTAAATCTTTAATAATAAATTATTTCAATTTTAGTTTACATAATATTATTAGACCTATTACTTCATACTTGTTATTTTAATCTTACTATTTATGATACTTTAGTTTAGATAATAGTTAATAACATACAAGTATTGGTTATTACCAGTAGTTGACGAAAGTGTATATTATGTTATTGTAGGTACACCACAAATTTGTTTTCCTCTTAATTTTTCAAATATTTTTAGCATTAATTATAGAAGTTTTAGACTCTTTTTGACAGACTCAGTGACCGAACTACCGAAGGTAAAGCATATTATTAAGGTACAAGTGTATAACCTTGATCTTATTTAAAATTTGATAGGTTAGATTACCACACCAAATAATTATGACATCAATGTAGATCGTCATACAAATGACGAAAATCTTTCTACACGATAAGCCCAAGTTGAAACTACAGTAATTCAATGAACGACTTTCATTGCCATGGGTAATTTGAATTATGAACTACCACGTACCAACTATAAATGCAAATGTAAGTAGGTACTGATAGATATTAATATACTTATGAGTTATGACTTATGACGATGCGGGTGCTCGACATTCCTTATTGAGACAGTACAAATTTACATTAAATAATACAACACACCTATTACGTATTATCATAATCATAGACTATCTATAGATCGTAGAAGATTGGATAGAGTTCTATAGTCTTGTAGTGGAATCATTTTGGCAAGATTCTTAAAGGTTACATCTATAGGATCCAGTTTGTCGGAAGTCAATGACTAGGTACCACAAAAAAATTGTCAATGGACATGCGGTATAGGTAGCGGGTGGCAAACTGGTAACCAATTACCAATGATCATCGGACATGAGCAGTTTATGATATCTGAATTATATCCGAGGTACAAATATAAGATAAGTGCATGATTTTTTCTAACAATTCAAATTAACAATGATAATTATTTTAAAACTGTTTTAGGTTGACTTTTTGAAATTATGTGGCCCACCCATCTGTCTTCTGAAGATTTACAGACGGTGCCTATAACAATACATTGTCCATTAGATTATTTAACATTAATAAATTAAGTGACACGCTTAATGCTTATAGACATAGGTGTAGAATGGTTGAGGGCCATTAGGAATTAACAAGAAGTTCTGGTAGCATCGTTGATACTACAATTAAAAAAAATACTATATCATATAAATTCATCACTATACGTCTATGATTGTAGGTACGTACAATTAGCGGTGTTTTAATAATAGATAATTGCAAAAATTCGAATTTTCAGGCTGCAGATATATCCACTAATTTACCTAAACGAATGACGGTCATAATAATATACACGTATAAAATGTATTGTAAAGATACCACTCATAGGTTGCACTCATCACCAATCTGACAGACCGTTCGCCGCCGTCGCGCTGTTACAGTATACCTACAACGCCGTGCGGTCGTCGGTTTCTTTTCCCACGGATTGCTGCAGCAACAGGTATTGAGTAATAACACCACGCCGTATCGTAACCACGCGCGCTTTCACTTTCTGAATGTCCGGTCTGTGACCGTGTTTCCGGTGCGCTTCCGGTCAGCGTAGTCTCGAGATTTTCGGTCAAAGAATTAATAACCACTGCCGCATTAAAATAATCATAATAGGTATTAGGTATATACCTACTCGACGACTCGTTATTTGCACGCTTTTATCTGGGTTCTGGTCACGTGTAGTGTTGTGTGACCAAGGGCATAGCAATGACTAACAAATATATTAATGTTTAACGAAATTTACACTAGGTTTGCCCCCCCCCCCTCCTGATGAAATTTTCAGCTACGCCGTTATGTGTAACTATGTAAGTGTAGTACTATATGGAGTATGTGGCATACGCGTAATACGCAGTGGATATATTATTTTAATGTGATCGGTTAAAATCGGTTTTATACGCTATTCGCCAAGCCCTTGACCCCGTTCGGTCAAGTATATTAAAATACACTACAATATAATATAATGTACACAATGACCGACTGCCGAGTATTATATTATATGGCGTGTGCCAACAACGTCGTGGCCATTTTTAGTACACGTACATTCCTGCTGTACACTCGTGTGATCATAATATCATATACGTAATAATATTAATATTGTTCAAACGGCCGCGGCGGCGGTGAAGATATCCGGACGGGTAGAGAGAGATAGACACACACTCCACGCAATGTGAACGCGGGTCTGCAGATTCTCCTGTCGTCGGCGTTGCGTTGCCGGTCGGCGGTCGCACTATGTTTGTGTTATTATCATAATACCTATATAATATTAATATCTAATATTAATTCGTCTCCGTATCCGGAGGAGAACGGCCCCGGCCAGATCGTCGTCGGAGAACCGGCTGAAGAGACCGAAAGCCAACGGTTATCGACTATATCGCGTGTATAATAATATTACGTCATCGATGCGGTAGGTGGGTACACGCGCAAAAAATAAAAATTAAGCAACTCGCACGTTATTGTCGCCCGCTGTTGGATAATCACTCGTCTCTGCAGTGGTTGCAGTTACAATGATAATAATACACGATATGGGCAAGTATACACGATTTCTGGCTCGTCACGCGTGTATAATAATATAATCTTTATTATTGTCGTATACTGACATGCGGTTGTATTTTACACAACTTTTCAAGCGAGTCCTCCAAACGGCAGATACTCATTGCCCACCTAGGCACAAGCAGATGTGCAAACACAGAAATATTGTACAATACATTACGAGTCACTGCAGTGGCATAATAGTGGTGACTGACGGCAGGGCTAAATCAAAACACCAGTCATAGAATACAAGATGCCAAAACCAATCGTATCTATGCATTCTGCCGCAGGACCGAAAGAAATAACTCAGAATATAGAATACAATTGATGCGTATATGGGATAATCGACCGGTTCGTGAAAATGAACACTATAATTTCTGAGTTGTGGTAATCAATCGCTTAACATATTTAATGAATCAATACTCAATAGTGAACAAACGGTCCCTCGAATACGATTTAATGGCTCACGATTAAATTTTAGAAAACAATTGAATTTGTTTATTTTTTATGAAACACGACAGCATGTGCCTGTATATTATTTTATCTGTAACGCAATCCGCTTGATATTATTAAAATAACTAAGCATTTTGCAAAGCGTACAGACGTCGAAGAATTATACGGAGAGGTATCTACACTCATTGACGACTGTTAGTTTATTAACTATTTTGTCCATACGACACGAGACATGGCTATAAGTCGTAAAATGGTATCGGTTTATTAAAATAGGAGGAAGTAAATACAAAATATGGCGACTGCGGATAATAGGCGCGTGTGCTTTCAAGACAGTCGTCAATGATACTCGTAGAAAATAACACGGGTACGTCCTATTTAATGGCCGGTGCACTGCAAAACCGTTATAATATTATACATTATGTTATGAAAGTAAAAACACGTAATTATTATTATTACTATTCGTCATCAAACACACAAATCATTTCACGGAACAGTCGCACTTTATGCAATACGACTGGCAGCACCTATACAGAAGAAAGATAAATATATTATTATAATATTATGTGTACACACACCTATTCACCATACGTCCATACGTGGGCTGGAATAAAACTAAATCTAATCAAATAAGCGTACTTTGCATAATGACTTATTAACTTATGACATCGAAGATAGTAGTGCCTACTATATGTTTATCAATATATTTACATATACACATATATCTTAACACAGATCGCTAATAACGGCGTAAAAAGCACAGACGACGTGGTCGTTACGCGGTGCATAAACAGAATAAGAAAACCCGTTCAAACTCAACAAGGAGTTAGGTAAGACAGATAAGTAAAATAATGTACTTTCTACGACAAGTTTCCGTGGACTGCCGTATGCGTTTTTCGTCGTACGACTCGACGCGCATGACACACGTATACGTTAGGTTAGGTTATAATGTACGCAGACTTAAATCCATCCGAACGATGAAGTGCATACGTACGTATACTGTTTATATTGCAATGAAATGGTATACACAAAAAGTACGATTGGACGAACTTAATGTACGTGGATGCCTAACAATAACGATAACATGATATTAAGAGCACAACAATAATGAGTCGTTGGAATATTGGTAGGTACTCACGTGTGGCGTTTACGGAGAGGACGGCTTCGGCGGGTCGGGAAAAGGTGGCGATTACCGTCATCAACAGGGACGCCCGGAGTGCCAGCGACACCGGACGATCGGCGGCGGCTGTGAACGATGGCGTCACCATCCTCCTAATTGCAGGTGCGCTAGGGCTTGACAATGGATTTATGCTATTTTTTATAGCAGTAGATCGTGTTGTGCACTGTGTCTGGCCAACAGCGCCGCAGTATGCGCTCAATGCGACTATGGTATTTAAAAATCGGACGTGTCTAGACCAATCGTCCCGCGCGTATGGATGGATGCGCCGGCCGATACATCGCGAACGGATGAACAGAAAGAACAACGATTAATTGATTTATAAAAAAAAAAAAACGGAAAACACTGAAAGAACCCGGTAACGCTGGCTAAGTGAATATCAACAGGTATGGTATGGCTTTTAGTAAAAGACCGGCGAAGAATCTGTTTTTTAGAATCTCCTTTTGGCTTTCTTCCCTATCCTGTGTGTGAGCGGACGCGTCCTCGGTGCCGGCGATGTAGACCTACAGGTGGGCGATACGATGGCGAATAATAACTTTATTATATTATTATATTATAAGAACGGAAGACGGCGACGTGCTACGGTGCGACGTTATGGCCGACGAGTGCGATCGGTTCGTCGACGATAGTGAAAGTATATCGCGGGGGCTCGTACGGACTGTCGTCGTCTGGTCGGTGCGGTAGTGTGTGTTGGTGCATGTCTCTCTTACTCTCTCTCTCTCTCTTTCCCGCTGACGCCTCTCCGTCTGTCGCACGGCTATTTCTCCATTCTATCTCCCTTTGCAGTAAATCTTTACTACACACGACGCATTATTATCGTGCCCCATACCCGTACCCATGACCACCGCCACAAAATATACGATTTTTTTATCCGGTCGTGGTGATCGCCGCCCGTGTGCGTTTTTATAGACCGTTGCGTAATATTAATAATAATAAACAGTAATGATACCTATATATGTGTAAAGCGCATATTGTGTATATCCGTGTGTTGCTGCGGAGTTCCGTGGCGTGATGTTCTTCCGCCGCCGTAATACGTTTATGCGTTCGAATAATAATGATAAATAACACTCATTGGGCGGTGGTAGGGCAACCCGAACAGCTATTATTATGTCATTTTTACCGGTCGGCAGCGGCACTCTGTGCTCCGTCCATCCATCATCCGGCTGACTACATACCTAGGGAATATTAGTACCTACGTATAGTTACGTCACTCCACCGTTCAAGTACGTACACGAGAAAAATGTATTACGTATTATGGTATATAGTAAACTCAACAGTACGAAGATGAGCTCAAGTCGTACATGCATATTGTATAAAGTGTTTATTCGGATGAGCTGCGACACCGTTTTCGGTATCCATTTGAAGATGGGAAATCGATAAAAAGAACGACACAGCAAAAACCGACATAGGTGAAAAATGTCAAATGTATTTTACTCGACAATCACAAATATTAGGGGCTAATAGTATGCTGTTATAATCCCCGAACAAATAACTGCCGTTGTATGGCTATATATATAATCGAAGGGCGCGGAGCCCTGGATTTTTTTTCGGAGGCAGGGAACTTAATATTTATCTATTTATCTTTATTTAATAAGGTTTTATCGAAAAGTCCAACCAGAATAATGGGGAAAACGGTACCCTTTTACAAGACAGCTAGTTCGCAACCCCTATCTAAATGGCGTCCTCGAGGATTCGGGAGTTGGAGAGAGGCGCACCTTAGTTAAAGGACGGAACGTCGACTGTTGTAATACTCAGTGTATATATATAAATTGTAATTATATATAATTGCAAGAGACGTCTATAACAAGACGATGACGACTGCGGCGGTGGCGACACGGGTGACCGCACGGACGAAACCCAAGGACGTCTCGGCTTTAAAAATTTGTTTATACAAACGGCATAGTGTTAGTCGATAATTGTCATGACAAAGCACAAGGTTTTCGCACTTTCATGTTTCCTAAAGGTACTATCTGCTATTTTCGTCACGCTTAAAATTAGAAAAAAATGCATATTATTGTGGAGTAGATGAGCTATAAGTTCTTCAAAAGATAAAACACCCTACCTATACTAGTCTTTAATGCGTCATAATATATGGGTTATCAAGACTTGCATACCTATACAGCTTTATATGCCTGAATTTTGAAGCTCTAACTATTAACATTGAAAATGTAATGAATTTTCAAACACCAAATAATTTTCAAAATTTCCTAACTTTGTGAAAATGTGTTCTTCAAACGCTTATAAAAAAAAAAACTCTGACTATGCATTTTCGATAATTTCAAATTGTTAAAAGAATAACTAAATTTTTGACCAACAAACAAAACTGTTTTTTATCAGTAAATTTTGTTCTCGGAATAACTGGTTTTCATGGAAAAAATTACTCATTTACCGTTTAGTAAATTAACAATCTATATATTACGCACGTTGATTTTCCTTAAGCGTAGATTGAAGGTATTTTTAGTATCGAGACGATTAAAAATAAAAACATATACTTAGGTACGTAGATAATATTATTAATGTCGTGACAACTACTATTATTTTGTTACATAATACATCAATACAACTGCGTGTCCTACGATTCATCGACGATGCAAAAACAATTGTTTACTGCTTGCACATAGTTATAGTATAATAATATAGTATTACTGTAATAGTTTGTGGACTGTGGTTATTATAGTGACATGAACTCGAATGAAACTACAACAACAATAATAATAATAATATATTCTTCGTCCCTGATCTACGACAAACCGCACATGCATGCAGCACTAGTGCCATATTTATATGCGTTTTTTGAGTAATGATACGTGCGAATGCAAGATGTTGTAGTGTCATTCCGTCGCCACAGTGATCGGCCTAGTGACACGATGACCCGATGACGGGGCTGCGTACGAGTTGATTCCCGGGTACCTGTTTACCTGCACCGACACCGTTGAGTTGATTCCCGGGTCATTAGAGGGTACGTACGAGTTGATTCCCTATTGTTGTAATCAATTATCAATAGATTGCAAGAGTAAAGAGTTTACCACGGTATAAAGAGTTTGACCGTCACACACAACTCGCTCTTATATCCACCGAGACCACGCGCAAATTTACAAAAAAAAATTTAAGAGAAGAGATGTCACGGTATACTGGTAATCTCATTACCAGATACGAATTTATAAAAACAATGTGTTACAAATTTTTACCAAATTACTAAATTTTTTTATATTTTTTTACCTATAGTTACTACTAAATGTTTTTAATAATAATATAATTCAATAAATAATTAATAAATAAAAATTGAATGATTTTCAAAATATGAAAAAACTAAAAAAAAACAACATTTTTGAGAAACTTGTCAGCCAACCT